TCGGCATTAGTTTGTAATTACTCAGTTTTTGCTCTGTTTTAGTTAAGACAACGTGGAAAGTTCAAGCTCTGACATCCCTGAAGGACCATCAGAGAGAAGAGGAGAGGTTTGGGGGAGGACCCTGAGGTCACGCCACATCACCTACTCAATATTCATCAAGCCCAGAGGCTGTCAAAGTGTCCTCATTATTGACCCAAAGTGAACAAACTGCTCACAAGTGTTGGCAACAAAACATAATTATCCTGTTTTCACTCATTTTTTGCAAACCATGCAGTAGTATGTAGGAAAAAAAGGCTTTTTGAAAAAGTGGCATTTAAAACAGCTTTGACTTCGATTATGGCTTAAACAATATTGTCTAAATGTAATGTAGCAAGGCAGCATGGTGGCGCAGTTTGTAGAGCTGCTGCCTCTCAGCGAGCTGGTCGCCCCGGTCCAAATCCCGGCCCAGGACCTTTCTGGGTGGAGTTTGCATGTTCTCTCCGTGTTTGGTGGGTTTTCTCTGGATACTCCAGCTTCCTCTCACAGACCAAAAACATGCATGTTAGACTGATTGGCAACTCTAAACTGTCCCTAGGTGTGAGAGAGAGAAGGGGTTCTCTGCAGATCAAAGGTGGGCATTTCTGGAGAATAGGCGTTTGTGGGGGGCCAACACTAGATGGCTACTGTATTTGCTGGCTCTTTAGGTAAGTTACGTCTGCTCTTTTTTAAAACGGAAGGTTTCTAAGAAACAGCATTATATCTGCTGTCAAACACAAGAAGATTATCTTTAGTCCTTGGGTTGTTGGCTGCATCTGACACAGGTTGGTTTGAGTGTGGTCTGGGTACAATGAAATATGAAGCATCTGAAGCAAAACCTGCTCCCATTTGTCAAAAGGTCTGGACTCAATTAAAGAACTTGAGTCCTGTGATGAAATAATGACCCAAAACAAAAGCTAAAAACAAAATGTGCTCTTTAGAAGTGTTCTTCTATGCGATCTGATCTATGAAAGGAGCTGAAACATGGAGTAGGGTTGATCCTTAAAATGTGAGACAGCTGAAGAAGTTAACCAGTAAACAGAAATGCCTGCTCCAGTTGCAGAAATCTTACAGAAACTGACAATCACTCATCTACAGTGACTGTTTTAAAAGGTTGAACAAGAAAATGTGAAGTTAAAGGAAACATCCTTTGAAACAAGGCCAGTTTAAGTATCATTAATATTTTGGTTACTTTATTTTTCTTTCTTTATGAATTGATTATAATTATTTTCACATTTTTCAACAACCAAAATGGATTTTGTTTTTTAATGTAATGGCTAGGTATTAAAACACAAACATTTAGCCCTCTCCACTACCCATTTATGTTGCTCTTATTTTGAAATGTAACCAGAAGTTCTGTGTTAAGAGAGGCGGAAAGAGAAGTTATGGAGACGCCGTTAATGTCGAACTGGTTAACACCAAAGACATATGTCTGTGGTTAACACAATCTGCCAATAACGCCTGTTTAATTTTTTTTTTTTTTATCCAATCAGACGTGGCCCTCCAGATACACCTTCCGTATTTGTCTGCAGAGATACCTACTTGAGTGAGAGAGTGAATGGTTGTTTGTCTTGTTTGTCTCTATGTAAATGGACTGTACTTATATAGCGCCTTTCTATCTTATTTATTTACTTATTTGTGTCCCTGTGATGGACTGGAGACCTGTCCAAAGTGTCCCTCACCTCTCACACAGTGATAGATGGATATGGGCACCAGTGACCCCCGTGATCCAAAAAGGAAGAAGCAGGTAAAGATGATGGACAGACGGACGGACGGATGGATGGATAATGTAGCAATAAATAAAAGAAAATTATTTCACTTCAAGATCTACAATCTTTTGCACAAGAACCAAATGGTTGTTTTATAAAACTACTGTCATGCCAAGTCTTGACCTTGTGGTGAGATGACACACTATTAAATTACACTTCTTTAGCATTGTGTCTACAAAATAAAATAAAAAACGTACTACACCCAGCATAAGGGTCTGATGAATAATACTGAGCCTACGGTGAAAAACTTTTTGAACTGAATTTCTGGAATAACTTTCAGCTTTTAGCACAAGTCTGGCATGTCCACTACAACGCAGCAGCTCCTAGCAGTAATGCTTGGTATGTTCTCCACTGTCAAAGCCAGAGGACTCCATCATTTACAAGGACACGGCTGAGACTTAACACCAAACACCAGCAGTGGATGAGCAGCACTTAAAAATAAATAAAGCCCTAAAGCAGAGGAATTATAAACACACTGCCATGGCAGAAGGAAAAGCCCTCCAAACAATTTGTGGCATGTAGTATTTTCAGTTCTTTCTCTGCTGGACACGAAGACAAGTGTCAAACAACTGAGGTGGTGAACAGGAGGATCACAGAGCTGAAAGAAAGAGGAAAAAGAGCACAGATGTGAGAGTGAAGAAGATCAATGGGGAATTTTCCATTTCTTAGGATGATTTCAGCCTCAGAGACATCCAGCCATGCAAAAGGACATACTTTGTAAACACAGCAAATTTTGCACTTATAAATGTATACAACGCCAAAATACTAACATACACTTGTTCAGTTTAAAAGACACAAGGGCCATATAAATTGTTTAACCTTAAACAAACAAAGAGACAGAAAGAGAAGGATAGTAAAAAGAAACCTTTAAACAAAAGGACAACAAAAGTCTCGATTGTAACACAATACGAGCTCTGGGATCATCAAACAAACTCGTGCTCCGGCACCATAGGGACACAAGCAACAGAATGAGGCATTTCTGAGCCTGACCTTCCTTTAATGTCCTCTGGTTTTGTCTTTGACTGACTCTTAGCTGACGTCCAACAGTGTTGCCTTTCCCAGGCAACAGAGACTGGCATTTCACAGGGCCAAACGAGCATTCAGTAACTTGGTAGCTACCTAAGACATTTTTCAGGCCAGCATTTTGTTTTTGTAAAGCATTACGTCAATATAAAAAAAGTAAGGTGCAAAGACTTTGTGTAAATGACAAAATTAATGTCAAGCAAACCGAAGCAAGTTTGTGGTGATGGCAAAGAAGGATAATACTTTTCCAAAGCTTTTAGGAAACTTCACAGCTTTGTTCAATTTGAAGTTAACAAAAAAGAGTTGATGGCTTGAGCTAGTTTTCAACTCCTAAATAAGTTTGAATATTCCCCCAAAGGTCCTTTTACAGCTTACAACATGTTTCCAGGAGTAACAGAGTTAACCCACTGTTCAGTGAAAAAGTATTCTGTATAAATAGGCCAATCTTCATCAGCAACATGCTTTTCTTATTTCTCCATCTTCATATCCATCTTTAGCCACTTATCTGTAGTCGGGTCACAGAGGCAACAGGTCTAGGAGAGAAACCCAGACATCTGTCTCCACAGCGACACTTTCCAGCTCCTCCAGAGGGACCCGGAGCATTCCCAGGCCACAGAAGATGCACAATCCCTCCATGGAGTTCTGGGTCTTCCCCTGAGCCTCTGCCCAGAAAACCTCCATTGGAAGGTGTCCAGGAACTTCCTAATCCGATGCCTGAACCGTTTAACTGAATCCTTTCAATGATGAGCAGCAGCTCTACTCCGAGTTCACAGAGCTCCTCACCCTATCTTTAAATCTTTAAGGATGAGCCTGCCCCCCCTACGAAGGAAACTGTGAAATATTGTTTTTTCAGTCATGATCCAAACTTCATAATTGTAAGTGATGTTGAAACATAGACAGACCAAAAAATTGAGAGCTTTGCCTTTTTTACTCAACTCCTTCTTCACCAGGACTGACCGAAGCAACACCCTCATCACTGAGGACGAGGCCCCAATCCACTGATCCATCTCCTGGCTCCATCCAACCATCACTCGTGAACAAGATGCCCAGATACTTAAACTCTTCCACCTGAGGCTAAGACTCCACCCCAACCTGGAGAGAGTATACCACAGTTTTCAACTTCATTAAGCACCATTCTTTCTAAAGATAGGGGCAAGTCAACAGCAATCCTCACCCAGCTCAGGTTCTGCTTGGTTGACAAAGCTTTGGTTTCTAAATGATTGGTGGAGCATTCACGGTTAAAGTTTGCATCTGTCAGCATACTAACTCTCTCTCTCTCTCGAAAGTCCTTTTGGTCCAAGTCTGTAATATTTTTTACACAATCTTTACAAGATGGGACTGATTCAACTTTACTACTCACTGGCAACAAGGGAAAATGTGCAATGGTGGATTGAGAAATCAGATTTGATAGATGTAGTTAGAGCCAAATCTCAAATACACCACTATAAACACTGATGGAGTTGCCACTCAGCTACCGTAATTCACCAGCTTCCATTATAAAAGCACTGATGTGGCTCTGAAGTGCTGCTGCTTTTCAAATAAATTGCTATGGAGTAATAACTAAAGCTCAGACCCCTTCACACTGGTGAATGACCCAGTCCAGATGTGATACTCTTGTTATCGTGGCACATAGATGGATCCCGATGCGGTTTAAGGGAGTTGTCCCAGGTATTTCACCGTTTTGTTAGGGTGCAGGAAAGCATCATAGGATGCTAAAAAAAAGCTGAAAAACATTCTAGTGAGCACTAAGTACAGCTGAGTTCTACAAATAGGAGACAACTGGGGCGGCTGTGGATGAGTATTTAGAGCAGTCGTCCACCAATGAAAGAGTTGGGGGTTCGATTCCACTAGCAGACACATGCTGAAGTGTCCCTGGTCAAGACACTGAACCGCTTATTGCCTCTGATGTGTGTCCCATCAATGTATGAATGTGATCTAAAGCACTGATTATTCTTTGTAAAGATCTAGTAGAGTGCTGTATAAATGGGTAAATGAGGGCACATATTGCAGTGTAAAGAGCTTTGAGTCATCTTGATAAGATAGAAAGGTGCTATATAAGTACAATACATTACCATTTACAATTGCTGTGATAAAAGGACTGCCAGAGTTTTAAATCTGGACATTGAATCCCAAAGTCTTTGTTACAATGTGAACATGCCCCATGCTGCTTGAAGTAAAACAAGAAAAGCTCACCACAAGAGGCTGACTTGGTCTCCACCAGCTTCACCCTTCGTGTTTCGTTCCGAATCCGACCATCCGTCTTGTCAACGAGATGCGCAAGGTCATCGATAATTTCTGATACAAAAACAAAAAAAGGAACAAAAAGAGAAAAGTGAAAATACTATTCTGATCAGTGCCTGCAGTTGAGAAAGTTATTATGTTTATCTGTCACACCCCATTCCATCCATCCATCCATTATCTTTACCCGCTTCTTCCTTTTCGGGTTGTGGGGGTCACTGGTGCCCATGTCCAGCTATCACTGTGCGAGAGGCAGGCACACCCTGAACAGGTCTCCAGTCCATCACATGGACACAGAGACAAATGAGACAAACAACCATTCACTCTCTTACTCACAGCTAGGGACAATTTAGAGTCAATAATCAGCCTATCATGCATGTTTTTGGTCTGTGGGAGGAAACCGGAGTATCTGGAGAAAACCCACACATGCACGGAGAGAACATGCAAACTCCACCCAGAAAAGCCCTCGGGCTAGGAGTCCAAATTTTCTAAAGGTTTCAGGGTTGATCTTAAAAGTTTTATTAATCTGATTGGGATTTTCTTTGTTCATACAAACAGAATATAGGTTTTAGAGTCCATGTCTGTGCCATAAAAAAAAAATTTTATGTACATTTTTGTGTGGGTGGGGGTGGGGGGAGTAATTTGGTACTAATGTTTGTTTTGTTTTTTTAAGTTTGACTTTCTGACTCAAAGGCTGTACAGATGGAAGTCAGGGTAATGTTTCCAGAGTTAGTTGCTGTGTTGACGTGGAAGCTGCAAGAGAAACAAGATGACCGCATACGGCACATTATATGCCCATCGACAAACTATTATACAGAAATGGCCCAGACAAGCAAAGATTTTGTATAACTTTTTACCTTGATTTGTGATCTTGACCTTTGAACTGGGGTGATAAAGTGTACAAGACACTCCGTCTAGTGACGATGCATACGTGTATTAAATTATCTTGAGTGAATCCGAAGTTATGGGCACGGCATGAGAAAGTTTAAGAATGTATGGAGACTATACCGTAACACGTGTACTTTCAGATGGGCGTATGAAAACTGCATCATGCTGTAATCATAGATTTGTTAAATGTATACATTAAAATATGACGTAATTCAGGGACCATATCAGCCCATGTTACCTATGAATGGCTTACTAATTTTATGTTTTATTTACCTTTTTCTAACAGGTTAGTCTCACTGAGTCACAAGGACTCATTTTCAAGAGAGACCTGCTTTAGACAGAAAACAAATAGAGTACCGAAATGACTAAATAAATACATGACTAAATAAATGGTTGAAACAAGAAAAAAACTTAAGAATTTATTTATTTTTCTCAGAAATACTCATCATCAGCCTCTCTCCTGAGTCCAAATTTCACAAAGTCAAAAAAAAAACCCCAAAAAAACAACTATGAATAACCACATGAACAAAATGTAAGAAATACCATTTAAAATAACATGTCTCATTACTCTTGCTATAAATCAAGAAAGTTATGGCAGAACACAGCTCAAATAAAAAAAAAAACCTATACATATGTCTGGATCTGCAGATTGGAGGCCTGTTTTTATCTTTGCTTCAACAGCGATGACAGTTGTTGTCCAGGAACCGTTTAAAATAAAAAGACTGAATAATAAGGAGGCAGTGGAGCCAGATTGCATCACTCAGATGGTTGAAAAATTTATTCCTTCCAAAGTAATCTAAGAACACTTCACAAAATAAATAAACAAGACAAGATTCAGCTCAAGTCAATCTTAAACACGCCGGTTCAAATCCCAGCCCGAGACCTTTCTGGGTGGAGTTTGCATGTTTCTTGTTGCGTGTAAAAACTATAATTATTTTTCATATATGATCTAATTTAGGATTTCGGTATAAAAACACTGATGCAGTTGGTAGAGCTGCCGGCTCTCAGCAAGGAGGTCGCTGGGTCTACTCCCAGCCGGGGTGCCTTTCTGTGTGGAGTTTGCATGTTCTCTCCGTGCATGTGTGGGTTTTCACCAAGTACTCTGGTGTCCTCCCTCCAAAAACATACATGTTAGGCTGACTGGTAACTCTAAATTGTCCCTATGTGTGAGTGAGAGAGTGAATGGTTGTTTGTCTCTATGTGTCACTGTGATAGACTGGAGATGGTGATGGACCTGTCCAGGGTATTCTCCGCTTCTTGCACAGTGGGCAACATATATAGGGCCTTTCTATCTTATCAAGACATTCAAAGCGCTTTACACTACAATCTGTATCCTCATTTAATCATTCATAAAGCACTCTACTAGATCTCTACAAAGCTAATTGAACAAATCCTTCTAAAGAGACTAATCAGTGCTTTATCATATTCATACACCGATGGGACACACATCAGAGGCAATGAGGGGTTCAGTGTCTTGCCCAGGGATACTTCGGCATGTGACTGCCGAACTGGATTCGAACCCCCAACTTTAGCATTGGAGGACGACTGCTCTAACCACTAAGCAACAGCCGCCCTAAAGAGACTAAAGTAAAGTCACGGGTAAAGATAATGGATGGATGTAAGTTTAAAAATACATTTTCAATGAAACTTGAAGCATTTTATTTCTGCTATCATACATCAAAATGTTGACTGAATCAGCATGATCAGCATTTAAGGTTTTCTAACAAGGTTAAGTCAGGTCCACTGAACAGACTTAACCTTGTTAGATTTTTCTACCTGGGTTATTGAGCATGCATCAGGACATTTAAGTTTTTGTTTTGATTTCAACACTGGGCTAAATGACTAAATTCCCGCAAGTGTTTTAAGGGCTGCCTGAAGTATTTGTCTTTTAATTCAGTTGTTAAAAAAAACATTCAAACTATGAGTTGACAAGAAAGATTATGTTTTGACTGACACTGGGTAATTAAGATGCACACGCTTAAGAAAAGACAAGGAGGTGTGTTCTCTTGGGGGAAGTCAGAATGTGAAAGGGTTCCGAATGAAAAGAAAAAAAGGAAAACGTGGGACTGTTCTACGTATGGTGCCCCTGGAGACTCCCACATCATCATCCAAGCATCAGGCAACAATTTAGAATGAAGAAACTCTTCTTTTACTGTTAGGGAGTGGGTGTAGACACTGAGCCATTTTTGCCGCATGCCACTCCAACGAGTCATAAAGGATGTTGTTAGTCATCCGCTGCCAAGTTTCCTGATTCAGATTTGGCCCAACTTTAATATCTCAATACATTGATGGATGTCCGACTGTGCCAAAATGCACTTGAGCTATGACACAGCCTCTAACTGCAGCTGCGATGAAACACGTTATTAATTTATCAGAATGGTTGGCCCAGAAGTACTGCATTTTGGTTTCTCAGTTCAGACCGTTATTAAGCTGTGTTTGATAACATAATACTCAATTTCCTTTTGTAACTTTGTCTTCAATGTGTGGCTGCTTCTTGTGCTTACTTGGATTTAATGGGATGGTTTCAAAGGTATTATTTTATTACAAATGCTGTAAATTCTTGCTCTTGAGGCTCTGTTTGATACATGTGCAGGTTTTCATCAGAGCATGGGTGTTTGTGTCTTCACTGTGTGTCTCTGATCTTGTTTGTTTGGGGCTTTGCCTGCCTCTTGTTGGCTTGGGTGTGTGGTGGCCCTCGTGGGCCGCTTGGGTTGGCTTTGTCGTTTCTTTGATTCATTTGGTTCTTTTTGCACTTCTTGTGCAGTTCATGCATTCAGGTGTGTTTGTCTTGGTCTGGATTGTTGCCTTGTTGTGTTGTTTTATTTAGAGGCTGTGTTACACGTTTACAACTGGTTCAAAATGCTGCAGCCTGATTTTTACTGGTACAGGCAAAAGAGAGCACATTACTCAAGTCCTGGCCTCCCTTCCCTGGCTTCTGGTTCAATTTTGAATTCATTTTAAAATCCTTCTGCATGTTTTTAAATTTCTGAATAGTTCTGCCCCTCCTATCTCACTGATCTGTTGCAGCCATATGTCCCACAGCGCTCTCTGAGGTCAGCAGATCAGATGCTTTTATTGGTTCCAGGCACTCGTTTTAAGGTCAGAGGTGACAGGACTTTCTCTGTTGCAGGTCCAAAAGTGTTCAATTCAATTCAATTCAGTTTATTTATATAGCGCCAAGTCACAACAGAAGTCGTCTCAGGACACTGAACAGAAGCATTCATATATAAAAATAAGTAAATAATACTTACATAGTGTATAATTGTGTAACGAGTTACCACTGCATGTCTGACAGGCTCCCCCTCTCACTGTTTTTAAGTCTTGTGTAGTATGACATATCCTGAGATATATTCATACATTAAACGGGTTCACTCATCTTTCTGGACTGTGTGATGTTCGTGCGTTGAATTCAACAGAAATGTGGACGTGAGACGTTAATTATCTTTGACTCACCAAGCGAGTGGGTCATTTATTAACAGAATCAAGTTTAACACATCACACATTTACATTAATTTGGCAGAATATGAAAACAACAACATCATTAATCAGCTTTTACAACCAGGAAACCATACGGCCATGGTTTTCCGTTGTTACACCACAGACATTAATGAAAACATCTGGATTAATTTTCTAGCAGAAAGGAGAGTTAAAGATGGAAAGATGAAGTTTATCTGAGAGAGATGTGTGAGGGAATTTGTCTGTTTTAACCAGAACAGCACGCTCCATTGAAATCAGCTTGGGCCAACGGTACGCTTGGTCGAAATAGAACTTTTACCTTGCAGACGATAGCTTCAGCGTCGGTGTAGAGCTCTTCTTTTGACTCTTTTCAGCGTCTCCGTGAGAACAGCTAAAAACCTTAGGAGTCGTGTGAGGTTATCCAAACAGAAGTTATAATTCCCAAAATCGTCTCTGGTTCAGCTTGTTTGGTTTAGCAGCATCCATGAATGCCTGCGGTTGCATTCACGGACTCCCAAACTCCCTGCACTCTG